AAATGATGTGATAATCTTAAAAATGCCACAGTAAGCAAGACCGTGAACTTGATGAGCAAAGAAACCAAAGGACAGTAAATTCTAAGCTATCAACAAAAATCTTGACATAAGAAAGACATTTTTTACAGTGAGAACAATCATTAACTGGAACAACTGCAAAGTGGTAGAGTCCCCATCACTGGAGGTTTTCAAGATGCAGTTGGACAGGGCCCTACATAATCTCACCTATGCTCCCTTTCCCATGAAAGGCTGGACCAGAAGATCCTTCAAGGCCCCTTCCAATGTGGGCGGTTCTATGACTCTAAATGGGACTTTCACAGTAGGTGAAGGGCTACTGAGTCATTCTCTTCAATGTCTGTTGTGGCCTAAAAGATCACAAGTGTTATCTAAGAAGAAAGCTCAGTCTCAGGTTTGCTCTACAGTTGCACTTTATTAGAGTTTTCTTCCTGTCACAGCTTTCTTCACAACACTGTTTTAAGGATTTAATATTCAATTTCTCTAGAACAAACCTATCTGCTTTTGCCGCTAAGGTTCTATAAGAGCAAATTGCAAGGTTTGCAAACACCAACTCCGCCAAAATAAGGACACAAATTGGCAGGCAATTCCCAGGGCCCCAAGATTTGATACATATTTGGGAATCTCGGGAACGGGAGTATGCCTCCCACCAACCCACAGGAATGTGAGGTTTTATACCATCAGGTATCAGGATTCAGGGAGATGCTTCCCACAGAAAGGTGCAGGCAGCAGGGACACAGCCCGCCACACCTTTCTGGGCACTCCCCCTGTCCCACTGCCAGGAGCACCATCTGAGCAGGGCTCAGAGCTTGGCCAGAGTCCACCTTTGTCCTAGGAAACAGTGTAGTACATCCTCCAGATTAAACAAGTAAGCACCAAATACACCTCTCATCAATTTGTCCTCTGAACAGATGCAGTAGGTCAAATGTCAATTGCCTGTCTTGAATAAGAATAATGAAAATGTAATTATCTTTTTCTGCATCGTTTATCTCAATCTTGGGGGCCAGTGTAGAAGGACAGAGGAAGTGTGCTGTGCTAACACCTATGTGCCATTGCCTCCTTGCCCGTTCAGGATGGCTTTAGCACAGAAACTGCACTGCTCTGAACCCATTTTGACAGCCCTTCAGGGAGACCTTGCAGGAAGGATTGCTGTGCCCTTCCTCCCAGTGCTACTCAAGAGCTAGGGGTCTGGCCTTACAGAGTCAATACAGAAAGAAATGACAGCAGCAGTACAGCAAAATAGCAAGGAACTTGATTGGTAGCTCTATTGTGTCCGATTAGATGAAGTAGAACTCAATAGCTGTGCTTTTTTTTTTTTTTTTTAATTCATTTGTTTTTCTCTCATTGCATCAGTAAACCACACACTGCTCATCAGATAGATCTGCTAGCCCACGGTGAGCTTCATGTAGTGGGACTAGACATCTACTAAGACATGAGCTAGCTAGTTAGCAATAGGATGTTTTGCTGTTCTGTATGTGATTGTAGTGCAGATTATCCTTTGATCAATGTGTAGAGACACTGGCACATGAAAAAGATCACCAATGTGGGTGAATTTTATAGCATGGGAAGATTTACTGGCTGGAAATTGGCTGTATTCAATTTGAAGATGTATGACTTCAGATAAAATGCATATAAATTCTGAACTAACTCAGGTATCACTGCTATTTCCTAAGTCACTTCGTAGTCTTGACATCCTTAAGCCTGATATCCTGAAATTTGTTCTGCATCTTCAGGACCATTTTTAGACCTCCTTTAAATTCCCCCTGAAATTTCCATATTCTTCCTGAAAATACACACAAGCACTCCAAAACACTGAGTCACAGGGCAAGAACAGTACTTATTTCTGTGTGATTATTCATTTCCCGTTAAGTCCTAAGGTCACCGTAAAGCACCTGCCAGGGTAGTATGCAGAAGGTTCCCGCTAGTATCTACGATGACTACACAGTCCTCTTCTGAATCATTCACTTCATCATGTGAATTTCAGTAAACTTCAAGAAAAAACCTGGTGTAAACATGGTACATCCAACAAATAGATACATTAACTTATGAGAAAACTATTAATGTTTATCTGGTAAGATCTACCTTTTTGAACTATCCTCTTAATACATATTAAATAAAGCAACGTCCCCTAGCTGGCAAATCCCAAGGTGTGCTAAAAATTAACAGGAGCATTTCACGGACCTCCTCAGCTAGTTACTATTAAGACTCCTGGGTGGAATTTATAAAGTCCTGTCGTGTGAAACTCAATGTTGCACAATGCTTTCCCCTGCTACAGACCACTACCTTTTATTATTGAGTCCAAATAATGTATGTGAGATGTTCTAAAACCAAATATCCTTTAGATGTACCTTTTCTGCTCTACACTTCACCACTCTGCATCTAGCAATGGCCTTATTAAACACTGTTTGGTTATCCTCTATTTTGTTCCTGACATGAATAAACTACTGTCTGTTATCTTGATCCTCCATGGCTACAGGTATTTTAAATCTCTCTTCAACTTTCCTGAATCAGTCACGTTGTCCAACTTGTACATTCATTATTTTGACTCTTTTTCATTTTCATCCTTTGTTGATATATTGATTTTTGGTGCCATTGTAATTTCCACATATCCATTTGACTGTAACAACTTCTTGTCCAATATCACTTTCCTTCATTTCCATGCAACAGTCCTGTTAGGGCATCTAGAATGACAGCCTTGAAAAATTCTACAGATATTGGCAATATTTTGCTATACTGCATGTGACAGCATTAATCATTGCGCACAAATACTCCCGCAAGAAAGACAGATGTGGATGAACTCTACAGCATAACCAGATCCTTTGGCTAGAAGCTGGCTACATTCATACCACTAACCACAACCAACTGAGATGTTTTTTGACACCTATGATTTTCCAGTCAATGATCAGCTTTTCTTTGTCCATTATAACTGGGCTGAAGTACACTGTGCTGGACATTAAGAAAATGTATTTTTAAAACGTTACCAAAGAGTTATCACTAGACATACAATTCCTCCACCATACTTCCTTCAGTTTGAAGTAACAATAAAAGCTATTCTTCCCACATATTAGGAACAGAGCGTTAAGAAGTTCAACTTACTCTCTAGCAAGATCAGATGGTCCATGGCAGACCATATTTCATTTAATGAATTAGAACTTTAATGTATAAAAAATTAAGTTCTTATTCTTCTGAAACTTCTCTGACTTTGAAACAGCTAATGGCCACTCTGGCATAATACACCAGCCTTTTTACCTTTTCCATCCTGAAGAACGAGGTCTATACATCAATTTCAACATCATACAAGACTCCGCCCACTAACTTTGTCACACTAATCATATAATCTTTCTCAAGTTCCAAATTGTCTTACATGTTTGAGTTTCCTAACACTAATACACAGTAATCTGAAAGATGTACCCCTTACAAACAATATAACATCTGGATTTACTTCATAATGCTTTAGAGTTGTCCTTTTTTAGAACGTGGAATGAGGATATTTATTTTGTTCTCTCGGCTGCCCTTGCTCTTGTATCATCCTAGGAATTGGCACTGATATTAATGAGATGAAGCCTACAGACAGCCAATTTTATTCAGACTTTATCCCAGTGTTCCACAAACCCCAAACACTCTACTTGGCTAACACCAGTATTTCCCATGTTCTTTCTACTTATTTATTTCTACTTCTTTCCTACTGATCCAGGAACAGGAAGGATTTCTCAAAAAGGTCATCTGACTCCTCTTTTCGTTTCCTTTTTAGGCCTCTGCAGTTTTTCACCTTGTGCAGAATGGAGCTTGCAACTGTCTCGCTGTTGCCACAACAGATCATTATCAAAGTAGCTTCTCCTGCTTATCTGTTTTCCCAGTCTGACTTTGCTCCTAGAAAAAAACAAAACTTCCCACTGTCCACCTGACCCTTGAAGAATAGTTCAACAATCCTCGCTGGAATGAAGTCACGGAGGAGGATGACCATCATCTGCGCCACGGCTGGCTGGAAGGGAGGGAGGAAGCATTCCCAGAGAGTGCCAACACATACTGCCTTGTTCTCTCACCACTCTCTGGGCATCTGCCCCTGGGTCACTGTTGGAAGAAGACACGCAATTTCACTGGCCTCAAACCCACATGGTTTGAGCTACGCAAATGTGGTCTTCCCTCCATCCCAGTTCTCCTCAAAATTTCTGCTGTGTCTTCTTCCAGGCAACCCTTGCAAGCCGTCATCTCGGCTGCCCCTCTGTGTACCTGCAGTGTCACATGGCTGAAGACACTCTTCACACTTTCTTACTCTTGTGGTAAAAAATCTCCCATCTCTTTTATTTTCCTGTTTCCTCCCATTGACCACCTTCCTCTTCCACGTCCAACCTTCCACAGTACCAGTAATTTCACACAATCTATTTCCTCAGTCTCTGTTGCCGGCCTCACACCGAGCTTCCCGAAATCTCTTCCAGCAGGTTGCCGGCTGCTCCAGACGAGCCCCCCGGCACTCGCCCTCGCCCAAACGCCCAGCGCCCGCGTCCACTAACCCCCACAGAGCGTGCTGCCAGGCGGATGTCTGAAACCTAGCAATTTTTAGTTCCGTCCGCCCACATTTCCAGTCGTCTTACTTAAATGGCTCATTTCGCTACCAAAACAGAGGTGGGAGCCCCGACTGTTCGTTCAGAAGACGCCCTGAGGGGCGCAGCAGGCCCTGCGGCCGCGCTCCCCCCCCCCCCCCCCCCCCGCTCGCTC